CAGCTATCCGCACCCGAAGAGCAAGAGCAGTTCTGTCAGAAGTCCACTTTTCAAGGCCAGTACTTTGTGTTGGACACGAAGTCAAAGCGGTGGTTGGACTACTATGTGAAGTTACGCGAGTTGTACGTTTGAGTACGAAAATTACGCATGCTTTACTTTCGCAAACGACACTATTGCTGCAGTATGATCCAAAGACATCATCTGCAAAATATGAAGGAGCCGCTCGCGCCCTTCTTTCTACAATACAAAGGCAGAAGGGTTGACCAAGTGACAGTGTCGTGGATACTGAAACAATTTCTTCGCGATAGCGGGTTCGCAGAGCTGAATCTTTCCTGCAATACAGTATGTCCGGTTTAACACTATTTATCTTTTCAAATTCCACTGGTTTAGACGAGGCACGCGATTGCTGGTCGACATTACGAGGAATTCTATCAGCTAAAGTTGAGAAGCATTGAGAGTGACGAAGCGAGCGCTGATCTGGATTGTGCTCACCTAGCTGGTCAGTTCTTGCAGTTTATAATAAAAACATACTTTAACCGAGATAATTTCGCAGGGCACTCACAACAAATGGAGCTGCAAAGTTATCAAGAGCGATATTTGATCAGCTGCGTATTCGGATACATAAAGGTGCGTAAGATGGCGATGCGAGAAGCATCAGAAAATGAGCGCCTCATCCAAGAAGTAAAGAAGAAATTTAAGCTGGCAGAGTGAGTCCATTGTGAACGCAAGTTGACTTTCCGTTCTCATATGTTTTAGTTTGAAAAGAGGACGTATTAATCGTCTCGGCAGTTTGGAAGAGGAGAATCGTCAAATGGACAATTCCGATGACGAAGAAGCATTGGAGCCCGCGCAAGAGGAAATCGAAGTTGAAGGCGGGCCAGAAGAGCAAGAAGCTGAGCCAAATCATGGTATAGATACTGATTTTGTTTTCTATGACCTTGTAGGTAGGAAGAAGAGGAAAGACAGCGGAGAATTATGCAAAATATCACAGGTTCGCCTATTTCGGTACAGTCGCCTTTAGAAGAGGAGAACTCTTCCAGAAAGCGGGCAAAGTACTCCTCACGCCAAGGAGGTGCAATTTCATATATTTATTTATTAGTGCTGTCTTTTATGATATAGGC